TTTTTTTTTTTTTTCTTTTTTTTTTTTTTTTTTTTTTTTTTTTTGCTATTGTTCAGGTACAGCAAAATCACCAGATTGGGTGCTTGCTGCCATTGGAAAGACAGCTTGTTTTATGGCCCCTAGGAGAGGAGGGGACCTGCTGTGCCACACAGGGGCCACACGGGGAAGCGCGAGCACCAGTCAGGAGGTGGAGGGAGAAGGGGCAGCCAGGACCAGAGCCTTTCCTGGGGCTCCCAGGGGAAGCAGCAGGTGAGGCAGGGCGAGCAGGCTGAGGGTTGGCTGGTTGGAATAATTGCAATGGGCTTTGGGACGCATAGGGACTGTCCCTAGTGTCCCTGGCTCTGGGGTGAGGAAGGCAGTAACTATTTGCCTGGAGTGTAGGAGCCCCATGGTGGAGGCAGTTTGGGGTGTGGACTCTGGATTGGCTGGTTTGGGGAAAGACGGTCCTTTACCATCTCTAGGAATCGTCTGGTCCTGGGAGGAGCGGTCCCTCCAGGGTCAGTGAGGCCGCCAAGATGTTACCCATACAGAAACAGAGATTCAGGAAACAGAAATCGTGATGAATACACCCACACTGTCGTCACACGCCCTTGGGGCTTAAACCCCTGGGCTGGAGCCTGTCACGCCAGCAGCTAGCTGGGCTTCTGTTTTCCTGCTTACAGCACAAACGCCCAGCCTGCAAGGTCCCACCGGGTCCAGATGCTCCAGACCTCGGCATCCCCAGTGCTCTCCGCCCCTGGCCCCCACCGCTGTGCGCCCCTCCCCATCGTCAAACTCAGCAACCTCCACATTGCTTCATTCCGACAAGATGACTCACTTAGTAGGACTCCAAGAGAGTATGCGATTTCTCTCTGGTATTTGCAATTTCTTCCTGATGCTTTGCCTATTTCATTAAAAGAATAGCAAAAAAAGGATATATATTAAAAAAAAAACCCTACAGAATGACTCAACCATCTTAATATTGGCTTTTAATTTATTGTGTCCATTTTAAGAACTTCTTAGGAATGACCTTTTATTCAGCAATTTCTTCAATTCCCTCTGATTTTCCTCCAGTTCTCATCTAAATAAAGGCAATAACTTATGTTTTAAAGACGACGCGTATATTAAATATCCCTTGTTAAAATTACTTTCTACCTATGGACGTGTGCACGGGAGAGTGTCTACAATGATGTTTGCCAAATATTAATATGGCTTGTCTTTTTGGATCTCATAACAGAAAAATACACTCTCCATGTTTGCCTACCGAGCATGGAGCATTTCTGTAAAAACAAAAGTCCCTCCTGCTTCGTCCTGGGCGCAGCTCAGTGGAGAGCAGAGCAGGTGATGTGTGCTCTGAGCACCAACTGTGCCCAACCTAGGGCTTCGAAGACTCTGTTCAGCCGCCCCAACAGCCCTTGGGTCAGACTTTGCAGCTGACCCGGGTGAGACCCTGCAGGTGGGTCAAGGAGACACGAGAGGTGGGGGCAGGGGGGCAGACCATCATGTGAACCCAAGTGTGATGAACTCTTGTCTTGCCAGTTGAAGAAAGAACCCAGGGCCCTGGGCTGGGCTGGTGGCCCTGCTGGCTGACCCAGCTCGTGGGCAGGCGGTGGGGACCGGGCTGGCAGCAAGGACGTGCCCGACTGGTGGGGCGGGGTGGGCCCTGCGTGCTGCATTCTAGATGGCTGCAGCCGGCTTGTTCTAATTCTCAGAAGCCGCTTTCAAGCCCAGCACCTGCTCGCTGCAGGGTCTGATTACCCCGGCTCCGCTCGCTGACACTAACCTGATTTGGGTGGCGCTGCAGGGCCCTAATCACATTTGTGCAGGGAGAGGGAGGGGGGGAAGGTGCCGGTGCCCTATCTCTGAGAGCTTGTGGCGCATCTGCTGTCCAGACCCAGGTCCCCTTCCTCCCCTTCTGAAGGCAGAGCTGCCCCTCCTGCCTTCCTTGCCACGGCTCTGATGAGCACCTCTCGGGCACTGCCCTCTGTCTGTGACATGAGCCTATTAGGTCGGCTCTCGGGGCGGCAAACCACCTCGGGGAAGAGAAGGGGACTGTTACAACCCCATGCACGTCTGGGGAGGGGCCGAGATTCATGTTTCCTGGTTCAAACTTGGCAAATGGGTCCTTCGCTTTCTGCAGAGGGTCTGGGTTTTGAGATGCCTGCAACTCCTTTATGAGGATAATGGAGGCTATGGGTTCGCATCTCGGAATTAGGCATTTGGTGTTAGGCAGAACTATAACCACTAGATACATAGTTTCAACGGAGCAGGTAGGAAGTATGTCCAAGGTCAAGCTGCTGCCCTCCTGGGTATGGTCTGGCCTCTCTCTCTGGCTTCAGAGGACCCTGGCTGAGGGACCCATGTAGGGTAAAAAACCCATTGCATGTCCTTAAACCTCCTGTGACCTCTCCTGTCTCTGTACCTTTGTCGTACTCTGTTCTTCAACCAGAAAGTCTCTGAGCCCATGAGCGCTGCCTGTGTATCCTCTGGGACACAGCTTACGCATTATCCCTTAGCCAAAGCCTTCACAGATCCTGCAGAGTGCTAATCACACCCTCTGCTCCATGTGTGTGCACAGTGCTCACCAAATAGTGCAAAGACCGGGAAACCCGTGTCTTCCCACCAGGAACCATCCCACGAGGAAAGAGACCGCGTCCTCACAGGTTTAAGGGCCGGTGCACACACGTGCATGAACTCTCAGCCTTCCCTGGGCTCTGACACACAGGACTGGCCCATGCCTGTGGCTTCTGTCAGAATGCCGCACGTGCCCTCAAACATTTGTTGCAATCTTGGCCTCTAGGGCAACATTTGGGAAGACTTGGCCCAGTCTTCCCAAACAAAAGTGTGGTTTGTTCCCCCTGATGTGAGGGGGTTTTCTCTGCAACACTTGCACCTGTCCGTCTTTACTGAGCACGTGGATACACTTCAGGCTCATTTCTGCACAGCCAGCATTACTGCCCTCTCCTCCCCTTTCCCACCTACAGATGAATCCATTCCCACATTCCTCATTGCAACAGGAGCCCAGTGGAATCCGAATTCCACCCCTGGCCACTCCAGAAAATCTTACGGAAGTCCCAAGTTGCCTCCCCTTAGCAAAACACGCAAGGCATCCAGGCTTCAGGACGCGTGCCTACTGGCTGCGTGGCCCCAGCTTTCTGGTGTGGCTCCTGTACCACCTCTCCTCTTCCTCTCTCCCCACACACTTCATCTGTTGGTGTTCTCTCCTGGGGCCTCTCCCCA